ACGTTTGTGCCTTTCTAAGGCAGCGCTGTGTCCCAGGCTGCATTTTAGGACTTAATATGGAAATGCCGGAGGCTCTGCTCCTCTACCTTGGGTCTCCTCGGCCCCTGGAGCAGCCCCTGCTGGGGCGGCAGGCAGGGGACCCTCTTATTGCAGGAAAGAGGCCATGAATGCATGGTTTGCCTGTGGCGGAGAGCGGGCCGGGCCGTCTGCCCGTGGCTTCCGGGCGCCCTCACCAACAACCACTGCAGGATGAAATCTCAGAGGGAAAGGATTTTGGCTGTGTTTCTCGTTTGTTTTGATGTTTGCTTTTGGGGTCCTTTTTTTGGCTGGATCCTGGCCTGGCCTAGGCCTCCTGCCTGCCTCTCCCTTCAGACTTGACTTTCCTGCCATTGGAAGGCTTCCAACCCAGAGCATTAAGCAGCTAGCCCTCTGCTCTGCAGGGAGAGCAGCCAGGAGGCAGCTCACAGCCAGGGTCAGCAGGGGAGGAGCAGGTTCCCTGTCTGCCTTTCCCCTCGTCTTCCCTGCCTCTGACTAATCCAGAATTGGGAGAGAGAAACAACTCTTTTCCAAGTCGTCCTCGTTCCGGATTTTGACATCCTTGGCACGGATGGGCCTGGGGAGCCCCTGTCCGGTTCCAAGGCAAGGGCGCGCTCTGGGGTGGGGGCACACCCTGGCCAGAGAGGGGCTCCTCGTGGACTATTTTAAAGTGGGTCATTAATATAAGAAAGTTATATTAGCAGTATTTAATCACTCACCTGTAAAGAGTAAGAAAACAGAAGGTAAATATTCTTACAGAGAATAGCAGAGCTTTAAGATTCATTTTCATTTAAGTCCATTTTGTTTTGCCAATGTATTAATGTTTAGAGGTCTGTTAAACTAATGTTATTTATTAATTTTTCATTTCCATACACAGTTAACTAAAGAGCTTTTTCAAGTACCCATGTCTGTACAAAAAAAATATTTTTAAATAAAGTTTCATCTGTTGTAGCAGACTTGCTGTGGGCCCTCATTGCTGGGGTGTTGGGGAGGGGGTGCATGTCACGGGCACTGTGGTCCCCAGGGAGCCTGTGCTGCTGCCGAGGGCTGAGGGAGGAGGCGCTGCGTCTGGCCAGCAGTTACCCAGGCTGTGCCACCAGCTGTCTGAAGTGGGGCAGCTGTCCCGGTGGTCAACAGAAGTTGGGTTCACCCCTGGTCCCTGCTAGCAGTTTTGCAGCTTCATGTCCTGTCGATGTTGTCCCCATTCGAGCACGCGCCCGCCGTGGGATTCTGGTGGCACCAGGGATAAAGATCCCAGCCCACGGTCATACACGGGGACTTCCGGTGGTGGGGAAACCCTGCGTCTCTCCACTCCATTCTTCCACATGAGTGGGGATGGGCCCACGGCAGTGGTGTGATTCGTCTAAGCAGAAGTCTGCACAGGAATTCCATTGCAGCAAGCCAGCCACAATGGGACCGACTGAAGTACCCACCCTCAGGTGGCGTGGCACACGCACACAGCGTGGGAGTGTTGGTCATGAAGGAAACCCTGGTGCGCACTGACTCCGCCTGGACTGGCAACCGGGCAGGTTAGTGGTCTGCTACTGGGGTGGCGGCTCGCAGAACAGTGGAAGCAGCCACTCGTGTAAAAAGTTGAATTGGGAATGCTTATTATTTTGCCCACAATAAAAACAAACAGGGAAGGTGGAGGCAATACAAGGTTTCTGGGACAATTAAGCTTTTATTTTTCATATATATATATATAAAAGGAAACAATTTGCAAATTTA